TGAGAGTAAGTCTAATCGTCCAATCAGGAACGAGCAGCACTGCGGTTTCTTTGGTTTTTGCGTTGTGTGATTTTCAAAATAAAAATGAAGTATTTTATTTTTATATGGATGACAATTTTAAGGCAAACTACGTCAAACACATCAGTATTTACAGCCCAAGGTACTTTACCATGTTCATCCAAATGGAGAAAATCAACTGCACATAAAAACACAAAAATATATAATAACAAAAACCCCACAAAGGGTGTAAACGAACAAAGCCCACAGGACACAGCAAACAGCTCACTGTGCTGTTCGAGGTGAAGAGTCGTTACAGCAGGACTGAGTCTGTGAACCTGGCCACAGTGCTGAGGAGAAATCTGGGGTGGTTTTTATTTTCTCCCATCAGTCATGAACTGTAAGAAGTTAATGTTAAAGCACAAATCACAAAAATGCACAAATATAATTAATTTGCAATTATAAAGTTGTTTGTGAGCCACAATATTCCACAACGATCATCATGTTGATTTTATCCTAGCAGCATTTCCTCCTGTAAAATAACAGAAGTGTCATATTTTGTCAGGTTATCAGTGAATTTTTATTTAAGTAAAAGAGTAAAATAACATTCATATCTGAGCTCTTTTCTCTTCTTTTACTTTGAAGCGTACTAATACTAATATCACTCCGCTGCCTCTCACGTGCGATTGGCTGGACCTTTCCAAGTCCGACAGAGCATGCGCAGTAACGTGTTTGGCCGTTTCAGTTCGCTGTGGTTTCATCAGGAGTATAAACGCCTCTTTTCTCAATTTCAGGCTCATTCTTTATCCTTTGCTGTTCTTTTTCCGGAGCTTTCTGGAGAAGTCACGTTTTTCGTTGTGGTCTAACCAATCAGCAAATATCACTGTGCTGTTCCCTGCAAGCTATTGGCCGAGTTGTACTGACACGGATTGCATATGGATTTTATGAAATGGCCCGAACCACGTTTTGCTTTGATGTAAAACCATTTAAAAGAAACACATCAAAAATAATCAATTAGCAGTTAAATAAACACATGATAATCGATAATAATTAACCCATAAAAGTATTTTATTTATTAGATGAATGACTTTAATTTACAGTGAGGTCACTTATTACAACAACAGAAGTATGGAAATATAAATAAAGTACAAATAATCATAAATAAACGTGTTAAGATTGTAGATTCAACGTTTTGATTAAAAATCAAGTTGTTTTTAAGAAGTTTGGATTTTTTTCTTTTTACACTTTTTGTTCTAAAATAAATATTTCAGTATTAGTGTTTTTAGCTGCAGTTCCTCAGACGACCACCAGGCGCAGCTTTATACAATAAAAGTCTTTAACTAATCGGTGACGTCAGACCTTAACAATAAGAGCCCTTCATGACCAACTACTTTGACTTTGAGTTAAGAGACCTTCAGAATAAAAGTCTTTAAAAACAAACAAAAGATAAATTGTGAAACAAAATTACGTTAAGCGCTTTAAGAAGATTTTCTTAAGAAGTTTTAGAATTTCCTTAAGAAACCAAAATATTCATGTTTGTATATTATTTTGTTATTTTCCTGAAAAACTCATTCTCAGTCCAGTCCAGCAGGGGGCGTAACGAACGTTTAAGCTGGACTGTGAGCAGGAAGAAGAAGTAGTAGGGTTAAATAAGCATTAAGTGTTTTAAGTTTGATTTATTTGAATAAAATAAACACCTCGTCAATAAGTGAATAAATAAAATGTTTACTTTTTTAACATCTGTGCTGTTTCTTTTTTCATTTTTTCCATTAAAACAAAGTTTTTGTTTTAGGAGAAATTTGGATTTATTATCTTAATGTTTTGATATGAAAAAAAGAAGCAGGATGCTTGGATTTTCACATTAAAGGTTTCGTGCTGAAGTCTTAAGTGTCGTGGACAGCCGTGAACTGCCAGAAACCCGCCGCATGTCGCAACATCGTGTTTGTAGCAGGTGAGGAGCTCCACCCACGTTCAGGTCCGGTCGTCACACCTGGGCGGAAAGAGCGTTTTGTGCATTCAGTGTTTTTAAAGCCACTTCCTGTTAACAGCAGGGAGGGGCGTTGCCATCTGAGGCTGCAGCTAGCGTTCCAGATTCCTGTGCGGCTCAGACAGAAGCATCCCCGTTCATTGACGTCCCTCGTCCCACTCCCATGCTCCGCCCCGTCCCGGCTTTTTTAGCGAGTGTAGGCCGCGGGCTCAGCCGTCCTCGCTCCGCCACCGATCCAGGGAGGAGGTCTCTGTCTGAGGAGGAGGAAGACGGCCACGGCAGTGGGCGGAGCCTGGATGTGACGCAGAGCGGACTTGGGCTGACGGAGGACAACGTCTGCTGGCTGCCATTCATGAAGGACGAGTTGTTGGAGCCCTGATGGCCACGGTAGTTGTAGTACGCCTGCAAATCCTGACGCTTCCTCTTCCAGCGGCAGCGCAAGATTCGGATGAAGGCCTGAGGACAGGAAGCAGAGGGGAGGAGTCAGTTGGAGCTGCAGGAGGACAAGGAGGCGGAGCTTAAACTGTTACCTGTTTAAACTCGCGGCTGTAGCACGGGTAGATGATTGGGTTCAAGCAGCTGTTGAAGTATCCCAACCAGAAGATGACTTTGAAGAAGGTTTCAGGAGGACGCAGGCTGCTGTTGAATGAGCCTGAGCACGCACAAACAAACAAACAAACAAACAAACAAACAAACAAACAAACAAACAAACAAACACAAAGCTTCAGGTGAGACTGCTGCACTTCTGTCTTGCTTTACAGGGGACATGATGAGCCCTGCTCTCAGACACTCTCACAGATGCAAGTCTGTTTGTGTCGCTGGGTTTAACAAATAAATGTTTAAAGTTTTAAAAACATCATCAGTGCAAACGTGATGTCATGTGATTGGTTGGTTGTGGCTAACATTAATAATAATGGATTGGATTTATATAGCACTTTTCAAGGCACCCAAAGCGCTTTACAAAACCACTATTCATTCACTCTCACATTCACACACTGGTGGAGGCAGCTACAGTTGTAGCCACAGCTGCCCCGGGGCAGACTGACAGAAGCGAGGCTGCCATATCGCGCCATCGGCCCCTCTGGTCAACACTAGAAGGCAAGTAGGGTAAAGTGTCTTGCCCAAGGACACAACGACCAGGACAGAGAGCCCAGGGATCGAACCGGCGACCTTCCGGTTACAGATGCAATTCCCAACCCCCTGAGCCACGATAGCCACATTAGTTCATGTTAGCTAACTAGTGACAGAACTGATACCTCAGAGGTAAATAAGGACACAGAAACTAAACATCAGTGTGGGAGGATCACTGTAGTGCTGCAGCAGTGAGTTCATGTTAAACCAGGACATCCCGTCCACTCCACTGTAGCAGGACGTGGCTGTTCACTGTTTAGTTAGCTGCACTCAAGCAGGAAAGTCTCACTAATCCGTCTTATTTGGTAACAAAGTCTAATTTTAAACACTTTATGAGCCTTTTTTTGTTAAACAAATGAAGTGTGTGACCATTCGTACAGATGGATGCAGATGTTTGTTTCCCATCCAAATTGAGTAATCGATCAGAGTCAGCTGATCAAACGTGTTATTCCAGATTCAGGTGTACAGACAAAAATCCAGGTGTTAAACCATCAGTTCAGTGTTCAGACCCTCAGACAGACGTCAGGAGGAAGATGGACTCTGATAAAGAACCTGAAGCTGTGTGAAAGGAGGACGGACCGAAGCAGGAATTTTCTTATTCCTTAAATAAAAATAATTTTTATTTTGACTTCTGCTCGTTTTTCTTTGAAAGGACGTTGACTTTTGTTCCTGGTGGTGTAGAGAAACAGCTGCAGGACAGAATTATGACCAGCAGAGGGCAGCGTTCACCACAACACAGCCCTGCAGAGCTGCATCAGAGGAGGAGGAGGAGGAAGGCTGAAGCGCAGACCAATCAAAGCCCTCACAAACTAAACACTCGAGTGAAACTGGGGCTGCAATCAAACCAAAGAGTGACGAGGAGCTCTCGACCCCCACACCTCCACCTCCGTCTCCACCTGCACCTCAACAACAGGCTAAGTTCATGCTGGCATCTCATCAAGTCAGAGAACTAAATCAGCTTCATTATAAATGACATGATCATCGGTCTCTGTGCAGGGGAGCTCCAGGTGTGAGCTCCAGGTGTGAGCTAGGAACCATTTAAAACCGACACCAGTAAAACCTTGGCAGCTGTGGACGAATCAGGTTTGAGGTTCAGTGAGAGCGCACACATCACGTCTGTTTTTATTATTTTATGATCACACATTAAAGCCTTGCTGACTCCTCCTCCTCTCTCAGGTGGAGGTGATCTCCTGGTGTCAGAGGATTCTGGAGGATCAGATTGTTGCTGCTGAGGCGGCCTCCTGAGCAGGAGGATTATTTTGCCCTGAACATGGACTTGTAAGGTGATCCTGCAGCCGACTGACTGAAGTTTAGAACATGTCGCAGTTTCCCATGATGCACCTCTCTGCTGCAGGAAGCAAAGCTCCTGGTCTGGTGATGGTTCAGGTTCCAGACACTCTTCTTCTTTGGTTTCTGATCACTGTCCACATTAAAGCGTAGCGTCTTTTTGCTGTGTCCTGTTGTGGACGCGAGCGCGCTGAGGAGGAACCAGAGAATCTCACGTTTCTGCTGTGTTTATAAACGTGTCTCTGAAGCTGAAGCATCATCCTCCCGCGCTGTGAGCCTCTCTGAGCGCGCTCAGCAGCGTCTGTGAGGGGCGGGGCTGCCCCCCTGCTGATTTAGTGCAGATGATGACTCAGCACGGAGCTGATGCAGCGTGACGAAGGTCAGCAGCTTGGAGCCAGGGAGCGCTCGCAGCGGGCGGCGGCCTCTGACAGTCGTGGGTCCCGCAGCAGGTATTCACGTTAAACATGAAGTTTCTAATAATCAGCCCAAGTCTCCAAACACTCATGATGTCAGACAAAGAAGGATTATTATGAACAGAGCTCACATTCATTCACTGACTTCATCTGCAGGAGCAGCGACCTGCTCCTCCTCAGAAGTCTGAGCTCTGAGGAGGAGCAGGAAGTTCTGCTGTGACTCAGGTATGAAGACATCACTGAGCCATATTTAACCGGACGAGGTTCGACGGATGTAGAAAAGCGCAAAGTCGTGGACGGCTCGTGTGTCTCGGGAAAACAGCGGCGGGTTAAATTGGGCTCGTCCAATCCTGCGACTGTTTCTCTGAGACTCAGCGGATCAGAGGCTCGCGGCCCAAAGTAAGCCACCACTGTCTGTCTCTAATGAAACCCATGGCGGTCCAGAGGTCACCTGAAGTCAGCGGGATTGTGGGTAAGGCTCGGTGTGATTGGCGGGCTCTTTGAGATAAGTCAGTGTTATTGAGAGAGTTACAGCCGAGCTGAGGCGGATCAACGGGGATTCCTCCAGCAGCCTTTTTAGGAGGTCTGAGTCCTTCCACTCCGCGGCGCTCGGAGGCCCGACGACCTCCTTATATGCACCGCCGCTGTGAACGCGTGACACCTCAGAGCTGCACTCTCAGAGAGGATGCTTCATTACTCATCTGTTTAAAGTTTGTATTGTTAGGGGCGTGGCCACCTGTTACTGACAGGTGGCTGTTAGCTGTTAGCTGTCTGCTAGCTTCACCTGAGGTGGAGCTCCGGACATGTTTGTGCTGTTGGAACCTTTTTAATGACATCATGTGACCAATAACATGGCTGCTGTGACGTTACTGTAGTAACAGAGCGTCTGAGGAGGCGGAGACAGGGTTGTGGTAAAATTAGCAGGTATCTGTGTTTGTGTGTGTGTGTAGACCAGGGGTAGACCGTGCAGTTTTGCTCTTTCTGGATCTTTCCGGGTCTTTAAAGGAGCTCCGACCTCAGATCAACCTCAGATCGCTGCTCTCATTGGCTCAGAGCTCTTTGTTTACAAATAGGGGCGTGGCCTTATGGCTCTGATGTGGGAACTTTGTGACAGAAAATAAAGAAACAGCGAGCGTGTTTCACTTCCTGCACGCTCCGTTACCGCGGACGCCCCGAGTCATTCCTGGGACCGGTCCCATTATCTCCGGCCTCTGATTGGCCGCTGACGCAGAGCCGGAGCTTCAAATATTTAAACTATGAAACCCAAAATAATCAGCCGCTGCCGCCGCGCTGCCAAAGCCAACAGAGGACCCGTTTTTCTCCTCTAATGATGTTGTTGGAGGATTTCTGCTGCGCCGTCGCAGCTCTTTACATCCTCACCGTGACCGAGTCCAATTTTCTGCCAGATTCTGCTCCTCTTCATCCCGAGCCGGCCAGAGCGCGGCTTTAAAGTTTTATCTGAAGTTTGAATCTGAGGCGTTCACACCAGATCACCTCCAGATGTGAGCTCAGCACTCGCTCCAAACTCTGATTTCTTCTTCGTGTCTCATATTTGAGTCTGAACCTTTAAGAACGATCACATGATCAGGGCGAGCTGTTCACCTGAGGTCATAAAGGTTTGACCCCTGACCCTGTTTCTTGCTAACAGCAGCACAGGAACCAGAAGCAAAGAGCACTTCCTGTTCTGTGATCATGATAAAGGTGAATCAGAGCTCACCTCCCCTGGATTTCCAAACAGGAAGTAATGATTTGATTGGCCAGCTAAGTTCAGTAATGTTTCCACCAATCACAAACAGACTGAAGGTGGCGCTGTTGGAGCTGCAACCTGTCAGAGACCGTAAACCAGGTCGGAGCAAAATGAAGCACAAACGCGTTTTTGTTTCTTCTTCGTTGGTTTTAACAGGGTTTGACTTCTGACCCTGAAGGCTCGAGTGTTTGAACGCTGCGTTTTGATAATGGTGCCGACGGGGTTAAAGGTCACCTGTGAGCATGTGTTGTTGCGATGGCATGAGTGAAGAGGAAGAGCAGACGTACCGATAGGCAGAGCGAGGAAGAAGGGCAGCCAGCACAGGATGAACATGCCCACCACCACACCCAGCGTCTTGGCTGCTTTCTTCTCTCGGGAGAACTTAAGCAGTTTGACGGCGAGTGAGCTGCGTCCGGTCGAGGCCCCGCCCCCGCTGGCCTTGGAGGCGGGGCACAGCTCCTGGATCTGCTGGTTCCTGCAGTGGATCCTCAGCGTGAGCTCGCTGGAGTCCTCCGCACGCTCCTTCATCATGCCGGCCTCCAGGTTCTTGGTGGTGCGCTTGGCAACGATGTAGACGCGGCAGTACATGGCGAGGATGACGGCGAGCGGGATGTAGAAGGAGCCGAGGGACGAGAAGAGGGCGTAGAACGGCTCCTCGGTGATGAGGCACACGGTGTCGTCCTGCAGGAGGAAGCACAGGTCAGATGTGTAACCGTGACATCACACCTGAACACTACACTTGCACCACGAGCATCACCTGTGAGGCCTCTGAGACGGGCAGCAGAACGTCATCAGACACGTGTTTTTAAAAGAAATGTCAGCGAAATCATCCAGAAATCAAAGAAAAACGCTTAAAAATGTCAAATATCACAGGTTAGTCAGGGTCACAGGGGCGGAGCCTATCCCAGCTAACACAGGGCGAGATTTTTCCTGATTAATAATCCCTCCAGTCATTATGTATTCTTGCTGGTCGAACCGGCGACCTTCCGGTTACAGATGCGCTTCCCAACCCCCTGAGCCACGGTCGCCCCCTTTTTCATACACAGATCTATGACGACGCCAAACACCCTCAGACGTGCTTTCTGCTGCGCTCATGACGCTCGCAGCTGAAGACGGTTTGAGATGAGATTAGATGATGAGCCTTAACGATGTGTGAAGTTTGTGGGCATGTGCACAACGACCGAACACAGTTTAGCATTAAAGACAAGAAATGTAGGAAATGAGCATTACAGGGGAAGAGCTAGCTACAGCAGTCACGCTGGATGCTGTTAGCTGCTGTTAGCTGCTGTTAGCTGCTGTTAGTCACACGTGTTTACAGGTTATCTCGATAAATGAATCTCAGTGAAACAAAATGATTTATATTGTGAGTCTGCTCCGACTCTGCGTTACTTCTGAAGTATTTGATGGTTCTTGAACTGGACGTCGCTGACTGCACAGCGTGAAGCTACGTTAAACATGCTTCGTGTTTTTAGATGAAACATTATGAACACATTATGCTTTTGAGTGATTCTAATCAGGGAAATATAAACTGGTTCTGACAGCTCCGCTGCTGCTTTGACAGAATGATGTATATTTTTATATAAATACTCAGAAAAATAAATAAATGAATACTGAGATGTGATCATGTGACCCTCGTCGTTTAGATTTGTTGTTTTTAATGTTTCTCATCAATAAAACTGGGGAAATAAAAGCTGCTCATTTCCTTCTACATCAGGCAAGTCGCCCCCTGCTGGACGTGAGACAGAACATGTTTTTAAGACATGCTTTCAGTCTGTGGGTTCATGTCTGTGGTACATGCTGGGTAATTTGCCGTACCTGTGACGGCGGCTGCTTCCAGCCAAGGAGCGGGCCAATGGAGATGATGATGGCGAGGATCCAGACACCCAGCATGGCGAGCAGCGCCCGCCGCTCTGTGACGATAGTCGGGTACTGCAGTGGGTAGCGAACTCCGATGTAGCGGTCGATGGAGATGACGCAGAGGGACATGATGGACGCCGTGCAGCACAGGACGTCCACCGCCGCCCAGATATCGCAGAAGATCCGACCAAACACCCAATAATCCAAAACCTGCAGACAGGAAGTCCAATTCAGGTCAGAGTTTAATCGACATGATTACCTTTACATCAGCATTTTACAGCCAAACTCAGAGGTCAGAGGTTATAGTGATAACCTGCATCTTGATTTAAATCCCTGTGTATGGTCAGCCTGTCTGGGATACTTTGACAACTGCACACGCTTCGTTCTCTTCAACACGGACACTTTTACTATCATCATGCAGTGCTTGAGGCCACCTGCAGGGGGCAGCATGTGGAGGAGACCGGCTGAGCTCAGCGAGCTGTGAGAAACGGCCAGTAAACCAGTAAACTCTACAGTACAACAGCAAAGTTCAGTGGAATAAAACTGAGATTAAACAGGCGACGATTCAAACTGGAGCATCAGTGAGGCCTCCAGCACCGACCTGCAGACGAAGGCTGCGTCCTGTTTAGCCACAAACTTCCTCATAAATCAATGCAAATTCAATTTAACCCAATCCAGAGCTCAGAGTCTGAGGAAACCATCAGAGGTCATCAAAGATCAGAGAAATTCAGCATCTTTAAAGCGAGTTCCCAATAAACCTGCACATTTATTGCAGCTGTTAGTATCACCTAAAACCTGCAGTGTAAACTCCACATGTACCTGAACCTCTGACTTTGCTCTGACTTTGCTCTTTTCCCTGGGAACGTTGTTCTTCCAGCATTAGGATCAGGACGTCTCTCTCTTATCGTCTCTGCCTTATGCAACGCTCGGATTGAACCGGTTTATTTAGAGCGCGCTCACACAAGCATCCATGTTCCACGTCCGAGCATCATCGCTCTGCTTCACCTCTGATCGTTCACAGGTCGAAGGCTCGGCAGGGTTTGGATCAATACATTAATATTTGGCAGTGAAACAAATCCTAGTCCGAGTGCACGCCTGCATGTTTCATGCTTAAGTCGCTCAGACAGAATCAACACATGTCAAAAATAACAGAGAAATACTCAGATTACTGCAAACACGAGGAAAACTGCGCCGCGCTGGGTCTTTTGTCTGGTGAGACAGCCATCCTTTCTTTACAGGCTTTAATCCATCTAATCAATACAGATATATATAAATAAAAAATATATATAAATAAATATATATATAAATATATATATATATAAATATATATATAAATAAATATATATTGTATATCTGAGCCAACTGGACGAGCACTTTCTTCCGTTTCCAGATCTGCTTCCTTCCTTCCTTAAATCTTCACCTTCACTCTGTCCTTTTCTAGTTTCCTTTCCTTATTTTCACCTCAGACTCTGATTTTTATGATTTTGGTATTTTTGGATTCATTTTTCTGATAAATCCTCATAAATCTCTGCGCGCTGTGCAGGATCCTGACTCTGAGCACACTTCACGTGTTTTCCTGATAAATGCAGTGAAACAGTCGCCCCGCTGCTCCTCTTCCTCGCTGTTTGAACTTCGCTGATGTGAAAACAGAAACCGTTGATGAGTGATCGATAAGTGATTGATGAGTGATCGATAATAACCTCCAGGGTGGCGGACACGGGCAGCACGGTGGTGCCCAGCAGCAGGTCGGCGATGGCCAGGTTGATGATGAAGTAGTTGGTGGGGATCCGCAGGTGTCGGTTGCAGACCACGGACAGGATGACGAGGATGTTCCCGACGATGGCGAACATGATGAAGGATGCCAGCACCATGCCGACCGGCACCGCCCGGCTCAGGTCCAGCGGGGCGGCTCCGGGGGGCCCGACGGTGCGGTTGGAGGAGTTGGAGTCCGGCGGAGGGGTCTTTGTCCCGGGGAACAGATCCACGGAGGAGCCGTTAGTCCACAGACTCATGGCTGACCGTGGCGCAGACCCGCAGAGGATCCGAGACTTTCTCAAATCTGATTTTAAAAAGTTTCCACGTTGCTGTTAAATCCCCGCAGGTGGAGGCTCGGCTCTCCGGGCGGTGTGACTGACTCCCGCCGGCCCGCGGAGCTCCTCCTCGGGCTGAGCTGCGGAGCGGGAGCGGC